AGGTGCATTCTTTCAGTCTTTACCAGAACTGTACAGAATTGTTCCACATTTTGTAGGCTACGGTCTTGTTTATACATTATAGTATGACATTTTTCTTAAAGTCTGTGCAATTGTTGACAGTGATCACTTGATTCTTTTTTTCTCCTTTTGGAATGGAATTCTAGCCAGTTGCTCTTAGCTTCAATGTTCAAGTTAATTACTATGTATGCTTGAAAGAGGAACAGCAATTTTCTGAATTACATTGTATTTTCAGCCTTTTTCAGTATTATGAATATTTTTAATAAATTTGTGTATTCCAAAGTTATGAAAATGTATTGCATGTTTATAGGATACCTCCTAAGCCATTAAAGAAGGGACAAAATAGTTCTAGGGTTGTGATACACTCTTGTGAAAATCTGCTTCCAGTGCAGCCTTTCGTGACTGCAAGTCATCGATTGCTTTATCTAAAAATCGCTTTCAACTAGTTTTATCACCATCATTCAGCACTATTATACAAATAGTGAGTGTGCTTCCTGGTGTGGCTTACAAGGTTGCAGTGCAAGAGAGCATGACAAGCGCTGGCAAAATCAAAGTACTTGAATTCTATTTTATCTTTGTTTTCTAGAAATGCTTCCATGGAATGAAGCTAGATCAATTACTATTTCTCTGACAAAACTCTGTAGCATTGTTCATCTCCTTTCATCTTCTGAGTGCTTACAAGTTATTTGAGTATTTATTTCAGTGTATTTCCCAGAAATCATATTGTAATTTCTGAAATAATCTTATTTCTTTTTTTTTCTTCATTCATTTCTGCACTAATCGTGCATTTTCTACCCTTAACAGTTTCTCAGCAACTTCAGGTTTGCTCAGTCAGTTCAAATTCTACTAAGTTTCAATGTTCTAAACTATGAAAATATCCTCAGAATATTCATTTTTCACTGTACGGAGAGGTTTTACTTGTTTATTGATTGACATAATGCTCCTTTCTGTGGAGATTTACTGCAATCTTTCAGTCAAAAAGTTTTCCCAAGTCACAGGTTGGATCACAGTCTTCCACGTATGTGTGCATGCATACTGTCATTCACATTTGAAAATTACATCAGTTGGTCAGAGGAACTTGATTTGGGGGTATTTTAAGATAATTAAGTATGTATGGAAGTCTGTGATATCTACCTGGAACTTCTTTGACCTACAAATAGAAGAGAAGGTGGGATTCTTCAGTGAGCTCTGTAAAAAAAAAAAAATATATATATACATATATGTTGTTCTTCTATTCATAACAATTGAATGTACACCAAAATATATGCTTCTTATTTTACTGTTTTTAAATTTCCCTGTATATCCATGATTTTATAGTTTTGCCATGGAAAATACTTTTTTCCATCTTGAGGCAAAAGTAGTCTTTTTATACAGGATATACAGAGGTTGGTTTGGCAGCTGTTGACAGGTAGCTCTTTGGATTGGAAGGTAGCACAGCTTAATGAAATCTATTACTGTCATTTAATCTTTCCAACTCTATGAGAGTAGTTATAACAACAGAGCTGATGTATATCAAAATGAAGTACATAGTAATTGTTCCAGAAATATAACTGTTCTCATCTTTACTGTAATAACAGTAAAGCTGCATGAGTCGTGTCTAGAGATGACATACATTCTTTGATGTTCTTCCCACGGATCTTAATTGCTTGTCTCTAGTTCACCAAACAACTACTTAAGGTAAATCTAAGAATGTTGGGTCCATTTACTACTGAGCAGGTTTTGAAACAGAATATAAGTAAACAAATTGCATCATCAAATGGGAAACTTAAGAGTACAGATATGAGGAACTTTTCATCCTGAAATACACTGCTATGAGACCCTGACGTGGTACTTAGACTCCATCTGTTTTCAAAGCTGTATGCTGGTGTATAGTGCTTACGAGTAGGAAATAGCTAGCTATTCTTCTGTCTTGAAACAAGATATGCAAGAACTCAAACAGTTGAAACAGCCCTAAAATCAGACATACAGATGAGACACACTGAAACTCCCATGCAGAGAATCAAGATAGAAAAATAAAAAGCTAGGTGTGTTACAGTGTAAAATGGATTCTTTTCACGCACGTGATGGATTGTGGTGAAAATAGCACAAATAGTTGTTCGTGAAATCAAATTAAGTAATTCTACGGAAGATGAATTCCTTGAAAAATGCTCAGTGATATATTTTCCCCATATAAAAAGTCAATATTAAAGGTGAATAAATTAAAATTATTTTGATTCTGTTTGTAATGTTTTACTTCATGGTTATGTTCCTGTGTTTCTCTGCTGTTTCATGTATTCAGATATTTTTCCCCAAAATCTCAAAACGATTTTGTCGTGTTCCTAATATTTCCTCTGCTGGTAGTGCACATCTATTTTTCACTGTGTGCTCTTATTCTCTACGCCATAAATTTCTTTTGTGAAGTTTTTTCAGGTGTGTTACCTGCTTTGCTGCCAGTTGATTGAGCTGAACATTGAGATATGTATCCTGCCTTTGGTTTCCTGAGCTGTCTTTGTGATATCCCTGTGCATTGTTGGTTTAGTGAGCAAAGACACTAATTTTGAGCTAGAATCATACTCCTGCAATCATTAGCTGCTGCTGTTAAATTGTTGGAAAAGCCTATTGATTTATTTCTGGCTTGTGCAAGCACTTTGATTTTGCCTTGTTATTGGAGATGGAGAGTGTAACTCTGCCCACCTGTCCATAGAAAGAGTTCAGTGCATGGAAATTCTGGTATAACTGTGAATGGGAATGCTGAGTTAGAACTGGTGTGTATTGACCTTACACTCACTCAGGTATCGGTGTCCGTGACAGGTGCAAGGCACTATTTTTCCTTACGTTTAAGAGGGCGATGTTATTTTCAAAACGAAATGAAGCAAGCACCTTTAAAGAAAATTAATTCAGAGGACTCAACTCATACTTCATACCTATCATGTTGGCTGGGGTGATTTTGAAGTGTTCATTAGTTTCTTCAGCAACACTTGAGTGAAACGAAGTGCGAATACTGGAGTCTTAAACAAAGGAGCATCAAAATGTATTTCTTTGTTTTATACTCCTCATGTTTGATTGCCAGTATTTTAAATAAATAAACAGAATTTGTATGCCCAGTTTTAAATGGTCTCATTGAATTCAGTTGCTAACGGACTGAGTGCCTGATGCATTTTTTTTGTAAGCATCCTGAAAGCAAAGTGTTTATAGACTTCCCAATCTACTAAGACAGGACTGTAAAATTCTCAGATCTTAAAGCAGGGAGCAGAAATATATATTGAATTCAGACTATGATCTGTTCTACTGACACTGCAGATTATTTCATGTATTAAAATGTGGGTTTTACATCATGTGCTGTCTGAAAGGAACATCGTGGTACCTTCCAGTACTTCCAGGTACACAGTAGAGTAGCCAGTTTAGTCACAGTCAGCTCCTGTAAGGAACTACTTTCAACTGGAAGAGTTGCACCTCTCAGCATCTTCTGATGCTGAGAGCAAACCTATCCTTGGCTTTCTCATACAGAGAAATCTGTATGAGAACATACAAATCTGTTTTCGTGTTTCGTTTTGTCGAATTTAAGATTATTTTAGCCATGCTGTCTTCAGGTGTGCCTTTTTTGAGTAAAGGTAGCAAATTCAGAACTGGGCTGCGATTATGGTTTTGTGTAGGTGCACAACATTTGAGATACTCTCAGTGTTCTAATATGTCCTCTCTTGGATACTGGGAATGGTGCAAAAAGGTATTTCAGCGTGGTGAAGTTCAGAGGGAGAACTGCATGGCAGTGTGACAAAATTAGAAGTGCAGCAGTGTTAAAAGTTGATAATATCTCAGGAACGAACCGTGTTCAAGTCATTCTGTCTGCATACTAGTGGAAACCTCATCAGACCTTTCAGAAACATCTTTTATATAGCTGCAGTGTGTGCCCCAACTCCTTCCTCGTTTTTGTGCAGGAGAAACTTGGACTTGAGGATTTGCCAGAAATCCTGTTATTTGTATGGTATGATTGCATTAAACTGATGCTACATACCTAAACAGAACAGGGAATATAGGTCACAAGTTCTTAAATTATTTTTTTCTGAAATTTTGTGGTGCATAAAAAATAATTTCTTATTTTTGTTTGTCACTTGAAATGTTTTTCTGAGTCCTCCAATTTTTTGTTATTTGTCTTCTATCTGACTAATGAGGCATCTTCAATCCTTTGTTCAAGGATGAAGTGTTCTACATAAGCACTTGGCTCTTTTCCTTTCCTTATCTATGAGCATTTTTAAATACTACATTTTTTTTATTTGTTTTCATTTTTCTTGATTGTATGCTGGTAATCTTACAGACAGATCTGTATGTCAAGAACTTGTTTTGAAATAGAAGTGCAGTTTTTTGAGTAGACTGACAAAATATTATTTTCTGTGTATGTGATCTTTACTATATTAGTTTTATTTATTTCAGACAATTCCATATCCTGGTTAGATTTAGTTAATTTTTGCAAGGTTTGTGAATCAGAACTCTAAATCCACAGATCAGAACCGTACAGGTGAATCAGTTTCTGTATTAGAAAGACTGCCACTAGAAAATCAGCCACAGTTTTCTGTTTTACTTGTTATTTTTTTTTTTTTACCATAATAATGCCATTTTAAAAGTGCAAAATAAGTTGTAAATCCCATAATAGATCTCTCTTAATTCCTTTCTATTGATAGTGAATGTTGATGCCTTGTTTATTTGCTCATGTAATATAAATAAAACCAATGCAGCTTAATTCTGTTTGGTACATGTACTCAAATCACTCTAAAACCAGTAATGCATTAGTGCCCGGATTGAATTCGAAACTGTAGGCAGCTTAAGGAGCAAAACCTATACGTTTATCTACTCAGACTCTTTATCATATACTGCAAACATTTTTCCTTGCACTTGTGTCTACGAAAATTTAAGTACTTTACAAAAAATCCCTTCAAAATATCTAAGGAGCTGTACTTTCTACTGTAAAAGATGCTCGTATTAATGCCAGTCGTTCTCTCTTCTTGCAGTGCAAATTAGAATATCAAGCTTGTGTCTCAGGAAAACAGATCTCAGTGAAATGTGAAGGACGTTGCCCTTGCCCTTCTGACAAATCCACAAATGCAGGCAGAAGCGATAGGAGAGGTGAGTGATGACCATTTGCAATGACTCATGTCTAGAAGGAAATCAGGTTTTGTTCATAGATGAATACAAACATTGTGTATTTTTTAATAAAAAGTCTTATTTTATTCAAGGATCTTTTCTTTTGAAATTGCGCCTACTTCAGTGCGCCACTGTAATTTTCAAATGCGTTTATTTTAGTGCGAGTTATTGTTCTTTTGTTGCTTGTTAATATTCCTCATGATACCTGTGGCAGTACTTAAGACAAAGACAAAATTGTTCTCTGCTCCTTAATGTTTTCAACTGAATTTGCAAGAGAATGTAGTGTGATTGGGGAGGGGGGGGGAAGAAACTTAAAAAGTCCTCATTAGAGCTCATGGGGAAAAGCAGTTGCACTTAAACTGTGGAACTTCTGGTAAAGACTGTCATGTAAAAATGAGCTCTTTGAAAAGTGGATTGAAATGTATCAACTTTTTTGGTTCATGAGTACGGAAACGTTTGGTTGCTTTGCTCTGCTGCTGCTTAGCCACTGATGCAGCTGACAAAAAAAATTGTGGCTAAGCGTATTTGTATTTCAGTGACTCCCAGGTGACTTTGGAATGTTGTTAAACAAAACATTATTTGGTAATCCTGCAAGGAGAGCCATCGTAGCATGGTGTGTTAGGCAGCCATGGACTTGGATTTTCCAAGAGCAAAACTGGAGGTTAGCAGTGAACTTTGCTAGGTGTATTTGTTTTTTGCTCTTTATGTTTAGTCACACTAAATTTGTGAAGCACAAGTATTCTGTATCCTAAATGGATGAATACCAGAATTAGTGTTTGAAGATTTGTTGTTTTTTTTTTTTCCTGTGGCAGTCTTTTGAATACAAAAGAATCCAGAACTATATTAGTGACTTGTGTTAACATTGTTGGTTTTTTTTTTTAAGCTTTTTTATTAAGCTTGATGCAGCATTGTAAATTTATTGAGAAATTCATTGTTATCACTTCTTTTACAAGTTCTGGCTGCTGCCAAAAATCAATTTTTTTTTTTTTTCCTATTTTAAAAAAAAAAAAGGAATTTTTTTTAAAGGGGATGAAGGTATGAGCACTGTGAACACTGGGCTGTGTGCAGTCATCAAGCCAGTCAAAAAACTGCTCTGAAACATCCCTTTAGGACACTCATGGTATTCTGTAATACTACTGATTATGTAATTAAATATTACATTTTGTAAATGATTTTGTAAAGCATCTATTATAAAATTTCATGTGGCAATGGTGAAAAAAAAAAAAAAAAAAAAAAAAAAAAAAAAAAAAAAAAAGCACATCTGTTATTTGCTCACATTGCCAGCACAAATTAAAACCATAATGGAAGAGACAGTCATACGTGGTTAATGCCATCCCATAGAGTATAGCATAAGTGAAGTTTGCACTAGCAGCGATTTCTGGCTTTCCAGCACAGATGTAAGGATACTAGCCTAACAGTGGGTAGGAAGTGAAATTCAGACAGTCAGTTGAGAAGCATCTCTCTGAGTAATAGGCCTGCCATTTTCTATGTTAGTTTTTGAATACATCACTGCCTCCATTAAAAAAATAGAAAAAAAAAAAAAATTGACATTGTCTCTGCTTTAAATTGTTTCACCTGATAGTTTTGTTTTCTTTTTAAATTTATTTTAGTCTGTGTTTTCTCAAGTGAACTATTTTTTGTACTGCTCTACATAAACGTTGAAAGCAACCTGTTTTATTTTTAATTAGAATTGTTAGTAATTAGTACTGGTAGGAATGAACTCTTCTTGAAGATCTGTGCTGCCAAGGGAACAAGATTACTTACGCTTAGTTATGTAAAAGAGAAGGCAGAAAGAGCCTATATGAGTACAGGAATTAGCACTAATCCTGTCCTGACAGATTGTCAGGGCAAGCAAAATCAGGGCTTTTCCACATGCTACATTTTACCAGAACATTGAAATCTGAATATAATTTCCTTACAAGGCCAAAGGCCAGGGGACGTGAGAAATACTGAAGTGAGTTGACTATCACTGCTGACATTTCAGCCACTATTGTGAGACTTGAATACAAATTTTGTATTAAGTGCTGAAAAAGAATCCGATATTTTCTTTAAACTGAATTCCATTAAGTGTTAGCTGCACGTGCATCTGTGAATTGCTTAGAAATTTGACAAAGCCAGACAGAGGAAGATTAGCACTCCACTTTCAGCAATAACTTAAATGAAGACTTTCTAGAACGTATTTCCTACACAAAACATTTTTTCATTTATCATTTATTCCTATTCAAAGGTTCTGAATATTTTCTTTATTTTTTTTCCTCCCTTTTCTTGTATCTAGAAAGCAAGTACTTCTACGAACTTACCCAACGTACTTTCAGTATGAAATGCCATGCTCCTTTGGGAAGCAAAATGAAATCAGTATTCGGGGGAAAAAAAAAGATTTGCTTTTCAGTGTGTATGCAAATCTGTTCATAAAATCACACCAAACTCTTAGTTGGAAGAAAACTCTCAAGGTTATCTAGTCTCTCTCTCTGCTCAATGTATGAGGCAAGTGAGGGTGCCCTGTTCACGCTTTTCTGAAAGCTTGCTCAACCCAGTGATGCATTCAGCTACAGCGAACCTGCCCTGTGTGCAGGGATTGTTAGCTTGAATCCAAACACAAAATGGCAGAAGACTTGATCTTGGCTTAGAAGTACAAGTTGACAAAACAAGCAATAAAAAAGGGCAGGAAAATATCATCATGCTCATCTTTATTTTGTTGTGGTTATACTTTAGAGAAAGGAATCTGAGTATGATACAAGCTTAAAAAAAATAATAAAAGACTCTTAGTGTATGGCCATAAGAGTGGGGAAAGTGTGAAGTGTCGTTGGAAGGGTCACACACAGACATGTGGGTGTGAGATGTGGAATAGTGGGATGTGTTAGGGAGTTAAGGAAGAAAGGTAAACCAGAATGAAGGAGTGAAAGGATAAGGCGCCATCTCTAGTGACAGAGGTGTTAATCGAGAGAAGTGAGGAACCATTTGCAGGGCTCATTCTTTTCCTGGTAGATCAATTGCCACATGTCCCACTTTCACCCTAATCCTACTGAAATATGTGCCAGGATTTGGGGCATTCAGGTCACAGTGGCTTGTGCAGATGTGCAGATAGGGATTTCACTGAGTTGGAATCTATTGGGCTTCATTTCTGCAAGCTCTTCAAAGTTTTTTCCCCAGCATTTAAACAGGACTAGAAAACAGGAAGAAAGCAGACACACTCTGCTTTTTATAATACTGAGGAGACTTATCCTCTTGGCTTTTTTTTTTTTTTTTTTTTTTCCTTAAGAAAGCAACTTACTTTTGCTCTGGTGCAGTTTGAGGCCTTTTCTTTCTCATCATGGAAGACGAAGAGCTTCTTGGCTAGACCTTTAGTCTAGCAAAGAGAGAAGGAATGTAGGAGTCCATGAAAGAAAATTGTTTCATGTTGATTTAGAAGTTGAGGTATGGAGTGTTTACACAAAATTAAATGAAACCTCACTCATTTCATCAGTAGGAATTTTTTTATACAGTTAGACATTTTCTTCTGTTTCTCCTTTACTTCTTTTGAAGATTATATGGAGGCCTATTGGTTAAATAAGTTCAAAAAGAAAAGGAATACAAAAATAGTATTAAAAGTCTACAGGAGGTCATACTTTTACTGGTCTTTTTTTCTTGTCTGGACCAAATAGCTAAATACTAAACAAATACTAAAAGAAAGTTTTGAATGCCAAGGACAGCAGATAAGCATATGGATGACAGCTCTAACTCTGAACAAACTGCCTTTAGAGATGAAAGAAGTCCGTTGTCAGTTGGCTTGAAATTGCTGTACTGAAATTTGCTCTACAGATACTGGGGGAAGGTTTAATAATCCTTAAATCCAAAAAGCTCGGAAACCAGAGGCCTAGACAGAGTGCCTATCTTCCATGTCTCTCTTAGGCTACACTAACACTGATAAATGTGCCACAGAATGCTCAGGATCTTGGACTCCCAAAGAGTCTATATTAAGAGTTTGACTGATGTGTGCTATAGGTTCTTCCTGGTTTCTTCTTTCTGGGAACAGGGTAGGGTTCTGTCCCAATAGACAAAGTCCAGAGATGAGACAGTTACGTCGAGAAGCTCAGTATTAGTTGAAGGTCCTTCAGTTTAGACAGAAGAAGCTACAATGCTGTGGGTGATATATTCAGTATCCATTTTTTACTAAAATAGATGAATTTGCTCTCAAATTTTTTTGTGAGGGATTTTCAAATAAATCCTGTAGTAAGAGATTACTTGTTATTTTCACTAAAGTAAAAGAGGTAGACATAAATGTAAAAGAGTGGGCTTCTCTGTTTCTGGCCATCTAGAGAGTACAACATAGCTAATGTAGGAAGCTGCTATAAATGCCGTGCTCTTCAAGTCTATACTTTGGATGGAAGGAAGTAAAAAAGGCAGTGCTGCATGCTGAAAATATTTTTCATTTAGCATATTTCAAAGAATTTAATCTTAGAACGTAGCTGCTTTCTCAGCTGCATCCTATTTTACGCTGAATACCACGGAATTGTTAATTGCTGTGATGAGATGAGGGTAAATAGCAGTAGGATTAAAGACATTGTAGAATCTGTTAACATTCTGTGTGCACCAATGCTTGAAAAACAAATAACAAGACTGCACCCCCCCAAATCCTCTTATTTTATTTACATACCACCATCTTCTCGATATATGACCTCAGCCATGCTTCATATAGTAAAGATGTAGGTGCCAAAAAGAGCTGTTCTTCTCTTTGCATTCCAGTGTTCACAAATTCAGAGATTTAGGACCAAAAATAACATTTGTGTTAACTCCTTCACCTCTCCTTTTCACTTGCTGTCCTTGAAAGCTAAAAATACAGTGTTTTTAATTGGCTTTTTTTCTTCAATATTAACTCCAGGTTATCAATAGAGTAACATCTTTAACCAGAGCACTGTATATTGGACCAGTTAGGCCTCCTGTTATCGGTGCTCAGATATGGAGTAGCCAGAAGCCATTTATAAAAGACAATAAGCAACATTGTC